GAGAGGACGTCGAGCAGGAAAAGTCCGAGCATCCATGATGAGCACTGACCACCAAATCGAAAGCAAGGATCCACGATGAGCACCGACCACCGAATCGAAGCACGGATCCACGATGAGCACCGACCACCAAACCGAAAGCACGGATCCACGATGAGCACCGACCACCAAAGAGAGAGCACACTGCGAGAGAGAGAGAGAAGGAGAGAGAGAGGCACCCGTAGAGCGCCGACCACCGAGCACACGCACACCAACGCACCCACGTAGAGCACTCACGCGTGCACTGACCACGGAGCACACGCACGCGCACGTTGATAGGCAGACGAAAGTGGCGGGCGATTGGAGAAAGGCCGTGGGCGGCAACAACATCGCACGCGGGCGATGGGAGGGGGGGGCTGGCAACAAAAAAACGGGCGTGCGGGCGATTGGAGGGGTGGCCGGCAACACCGAAGCGGGTGGCCGGGGCAACAAAAGCAAACGGGCGGGCGATTCGACGCTTCCGGTACCAAACGGCGACTGTGGAGGAGTGGGCGGGGCGGGCCACAATTACGGGCGGACGGGCGGACGGGCGGGCGGGCGGACGATTGGAGAGGTGGGCGGCGGACGATTGGACGGGTGGGCGGGCCTGCAATTCAGCGCGTCCAGTAGCGACCAGCAGAATCTGAAATCTGACATTGCACGGCCCGAATCGCAGGCCGGTAACCACCGCGGACGGCCCAGATCGCAGGCCGATCAGAAAACTTTCTGATCGGCCTGCGAACCGCGCCGTCCGCGGTGGTTACCGGCCTGCGGTTCGGGCCGTGCGATATGACGTTTAGCATTTCTTATAGTAGGTGTAGACAAGGCTCTCATAGAGGAGACATTTCTAGGAAAAAGGAAAGGGCCAGTATAGCAGATAGGGTTTTAGGGTTTAAGCAATTTCAGCTAAACACTGTCCAGGTAGACCCTCATCATCAGATAGTCAGAGCAAATAGCCCAAGAATAGAGGCAGGCGGTAGAGCTTTTAAATTAGGCTAACTTAGGCAGGGGTGACGGGTGGTACATCCTTCCCCAGGGGAAGTAACCAATGCCATCAACTCAGGTCTCTCAACAATCATGGGGAGAAGCGTGCGTGAGTAACCGTTGTACTATTGTTGACTTGCCGGTGGAATAGGAAACGTACTGATGCTACCCAGAATGGAAAAGGAGCCAGAATCCTAAGTTTCTGTTTATTTAAAAAAAAAAAGAAGAGGGTAGAGAGCTGGTCAAGTGGCCAACCTGAGCGTATTAGCAGCTGCAAAATCGATCTTTGCTCCTCCGCGTTGTAGAAAGAGAGATGGGCCCGGCGCTCCATCGCCTTCCGCACCCATTCCTTCTGTTCTCGTCCAGTGAGGTGCACACACTCCACAGTCAAATTGCCACAGTAGACAGATCGCAGAAGAGAAACCAGCTCCCCAATAGTCCAAAAGACTTGTGGGGCCTCGTTGCTGGTGATCAGATCACCGAGGAAGAACCTGGAAATCAGAGGAAAGCAGAAGGGGAAACAAAGTCAAGCCAAACAAAAAAAGAAGTCCAAAAATTCATATTCGTCAACTCTTCACTCTTATTACCCTAGTAGACCTTTACACCTGAGTTTCCATTATCAGAACTATCTTCTGGGCTGCAATCCGCACTCAATACAGGGTGATAGAGTGAGTCTTTTTCCAGACAGCATCCAAGGCCATGCTCAATTAGCAACTTGACACAAATCATCATTAGATTAACGAGAGGAGAAACTTGGTAGGACAGAATGCATGCAGACTAGCCATCCCTCAGCAAAGCATTGACCATGACCATGTTATAATTATCTACCTCTGGGGTCAGGAGTACATGCACACTCATCTCCCTCACTCTGTCCATCCATCCATCCATGTCCTCGCAAACTGATCCTTGACAGTTCTTGCCTCTCTCTTTCTCTCTCTCTCTCTCTCTCTCTCTCTCTCTCTCTCTCTCTCTCTCTCTCTCTCTCTCTCTCT